ATTGTATTTTTTTTTTTTTTCCCTAAAACTTTTACTTTAATACTCTCTTCACGAAAACTTGTTACACATAGTGTTCAAATCAAGTTGCCTGCGTGGTGCGCAAAGCCGCCGTCTCGATGTAACTTCAATTTGACTACGCTATCGCGTAGCAACTGCGTATGTAAACGTATACAATAAGATACATTTAACTTTATGAAAGTTCATTTGTTCTAGGGATATGGTATTGTAACTTTACTTCTTATCGTCGGTATAACAATTTTGTTTAGTTTCACATGCAAGGAACATGTTTATTTTTCCAAATTTATATGTAGGATAACACTTACATTGCATGTCGCTACAATTGAAATTCCTATTTCCTGCATTTAGAAATACGAGCGAATATCGTACTTTTATAAAAATACCAAAATTTGTTGCAGTGCCTTTTTCAGATAGCATCATGGGTCATCAATTGCACTTTATCAAATCGTAGTACAATTTTTAATTCACATAGGAGTAAATATTATCAATCGTAAATTCTTAGAAGCAATTAATTTGATATCTGTAAAAATCTCTGTTCTTTCTTTGGTAAAATAAATTAGTTCCATTGCTTTGCAGGTTGTCCGGAAGTAATCAGGATCTCTATGATCAATAAGCACACTCAATTTCCATTTCTCTCTTTCATTTATCTTTTTAACAGTGTGCTTAGAAAAATTTAATTAAAATAATACTATACGCAATTAAGATAGCACCGTGATAGCGATTGAAAAGTTAGGACGGACAAGCACGTTTTTATCCTCTATTACATTTACTTAAAAATGTTATTTTTGTTTATTGTTTACAGAAAATTATTTGTCGGTGGCTTGAGCTGGGAAACTACTGACAGTGAGTACTCTTATTCTTAGTAATCGACATTGCATATTCAAATATTCGGCACGAATTTTTATCTCGATCTGTTTCATGCATTTCAGAGGAATTACGAGAACATTTTAGTACATATGGCGACATTGAGAGTATTAATGTCAAAACAGATCCCAACACGGGGAGATCGAGAGGCTTTGCCTTTATTGTTTTCGCCAAAGCCGAAGCTCTTGATAAAGTAATTCATTATTATCTTTCTTGATCGATAATCAAATGGAAATTTCAAATGTTATGGATAATGTATTAGCTCTCAAAATGGATTTCACACTTAAAACTTTTAACAAAAAATATTCT